CTTGCTTTCACGAACTCAGGCGATTATTCGCTTACCTGTTCTTAAGATTCTTCAAATTCAACTGTAACTTAAAGTACACAGTACAGAATCTTACAACGTTAATCAGCAGCATCTTTCATAGCTATAAGAGTTCGGTAAATTATGTTTCAGAATGAAGGCTGTTTTTTCCACCTATTCTAAATTAGTAATATATTTCGAAATAAAAGGATTTTTCATTCATTAATAACAAAGATAACAAATAATTCTATTAGATACTCAAGACTCAAAAATTAACAAGTCGTTAAGACCTCTCTGAATACTGGTAGTTCGATTCGGGTTCGATTCCCATACAACGGGCTGACTGCGTGAGATTTTCATGATTTTTCCCCATGTGCAAAGTCAGTATAAGATAGTTTTCCTTGAAAAAAAAATCACTGCGGAGGCTTCAAGCAGATATCCTGCTTGTATTTTCCTGAATTAATTAAGCTATCTCAATTTTGTAAGTTCCATAACGTTACATGTTACAGAAATACAGGATTTTTAGCATACAAAATAAAATTGTAATTATTTTGAGTAATTAAGACATATGTAATGAAAAAAAACTGACTGCGCATTTGCAAATAATTTATTATTTTTTCTAAATACTGCAGTTCCATTTTACATTTAACACATTATTAGTTAGGAAAAAAAAGAGAAAAATGTATACTCAATTTGAGTTTATTCAAGAGTTCCTTCACGATCAAAATTTAACTTCTACTCTTGAAGTTTTCAAAGTGCTCTAATGAAACTCATTGTTGACTTTTTCCTTAAATTTAACACCAGACTTTTTTCTTCCTGGTTGCTGTTGTTATAACATAACGTTGGATAGATGTGGACAATTTTTTATTCGAAACAGAATTAAACTAATTAAAAGGAAAATATGAATATTCACCAAATTATCTTTTCCTCCGTCAATTTTGTTTAATCATGTATTAAGAATTAATGAAGAAAGAGGCATATATGTGTAAAAGTTAAAGCGATCGAATAACACATTCATCTACGATGGTTTTAAAAATAAATTGACAAACTCTGCAACTAAGTGAGTAATGTTTTACTTGAATAATTAAAAAAGGATATTGTGGACCATAATTTTATAACTCTCATCCAGTAACAAGAAACTGTTAGATTATAATTTATAGAATATAACATACAATGAAAAAATAATATTTTTTTTTTCAAATTAATGAATTAGGTTGATTCTTTTTTGGCACTGCTTAGACAGGAGAGAGAGAAGGAGAAAAAAAAAATATTTTCAGTGATGCGCAACTTTCCCTCATTTCTAAATACTGAACTCCACAATCATTTTTACTTGCAGGTCACGTCCTTGTCACCCCTCGCTTCATAATCGGTTAACTTGTCTGACACGCATGGCTTCACAAATCAAAATTTATGTAGAGGTGGCAAATGCTTTCCTGGCTCTGCCTTTTTTGTGTGCATGTGTGTAACTGTGAATCTTCTGTGTGCAAAACACTTGCAGTTTCCATCGCTTGAATTATAGAAATTTTATCCTGAAAATTTCATATGTAGTTTGTCGAGTTTATAGCTAACAAAACAGAGAAATAATTACTAATTAAACTACAGGAGTTCGTATTAATAAGTAGCGCGATAGAAAATTAAATTTTAGGAAATAATATTTTCTTCTTTTCCAGTACCATGTATTAATCGCATTTAGATACTTCATAATTTAAAATTAAACTAAATTCGCAGGTGTCTTCCTTGTCATTATTCCTTAAACTTAATTGTAAAAGAATTGTGACATTTTTATTTCTACGAAGATTTTGAGCTAGTAACAAATAGATATTCATGAAGCGCATTAACCCTTTTGATACAGAACCTAGAGCAACATAGAAGCACTCTTCACTGACTGAAGCAAAATTCGAACAACTAAGAAAGACCCCGATTCTCAAACGAATCGAGTAAGTAGAAGCGGGAAACTCGATGTTGTATGAATTTGCAGGGGAAATGGGAGAATGAAAAGCAGAGAATAAATCCAACTTTGAAGTTATATATGCATTTTGAGACTTGGCGATCAGATTAAACGAAATTAGATAATAAATAAATGATAATAATCAAGTTTAAGCGATAGTAGATCAATTATTTTATTGTTTTGCTTTGCAATACTATAACTCAAATTTTGCGCAAAAATGGACAATAAACTTGACAAAATAAGTGAACTTATGAACTTATACACTTGACAAAATAAGTCAACTTATGAAATTAATCAAAAAGTTCGCTGTGCATAATGTTTCAGGTAAAAACATTGTTAAACACCAATAAACATTGATCAGCTGCGTATATCCACGCCACACGCATTTTTTTTTCTCTTCCCCTTTTCTAAAGTTAGATAAGAACTGGAGACTGCTGCTGTTTCCAATGTCTAATGGTTGTTAAAGTCAGTGTGTTTATTAAAATGCTCATGCCAAAAAAAACGTGATTTTGACGTGGAAAACTGGAAGCCTTGTCGGCAAAAATTAGCAATCCATCTGAATTCAGTTTTGAAAACGTGTTTTATAACTTTTGGTTTTTGATTTTTCTAAAGAGTCTTCGACAGGAAATTACATTTCTATTCTGATTCTTCTGACTCTCTTGATGAAAAAAAAATAATCCATTGCTCTATCCAGCCTTTCAAAATTATTAAGAAATTCATTTACAGCTGCAACTGTTTTGGTGCATATCTGAAGTTGACTGGCTGTACCGCATTAAGATGCATAGTACTCTGCAATATTTATAAGACTTTCCAGCATGTTAGAGGACATGAAGAAAATTTATTCCCTTATAATTTGTTTTAAGTTCATTAATATGATGTGTGATAATTGCCAAAATACATTTTTCACCTACTGTGTATCTTGCACAAACACGACAAATGAAAGAATACCCACCGGGCTTATAATATTTGTTATTGTTTCCCTCGCACATATCACTTTCCTCATTGTACTCTTTCGAGAGACTTGATTGCAACGTAAATCTGCTAGTTTCTTACAAAAGCATTCTTTTCATTTTCCGTCCGCATAGACAGTGCACCTATAAAACACATTTTTACTTAAAAAGGACTGTAACAAGCGATGCTAAATGCACGCAGACTATAGCAAAAGAATGTTTCCGACGAATACTATATACATTCAAAGAATGATAGAATGTATTTTAAGAAGAGTATAGAAAAGTTTATTTCTATACGTTTATGACTTACTTAAACCCTGAACTCTGGAATATTAACCAGGGTCTGTATCAGTAATGAAAAACCAGCCTTATTGATTCAGATCGCATATTGAATATGGGCTCAAAAATCATTATGCTCAAGTTTTTCCTTCGTGTTTTCTGAATTAATTTCTTTAAAACAAGCATCATTAGAGTAATAGCTTAAATGAGTAACTGTAACCAATAAAATATTCAAAGATGAACATAAATGCTCTGTATTTTCTTCGGGGTCATTTAGAAAAAATTGCAGATCGAAAGCATTTTATAATTAAAATAAAAACTTTGGTCTTTCCACTTGCAGCATTTGTCTAGCTACTTAATCTTCTAGAACTCCTTAGTTTATGTCACCAAAGAATACGAGACTCTATAAATCGTTTTCTAAAATCTTTATCACGCGTGAAGTTTTATTGGATTTATATTTTATTGTATTAGTAATTTAAATTCTTTCCTTTATCAGTGAACAAAAGTTTTATTTTCGTGATAACTGAAGCATTAATTTTTATAAATTGGATTGGTAATGTTAGTCTATCTGAAACAACAATATTTATTCGAATATCTCATTTTTTCCGTTTTATGATGGTTCATGTACATAAACTATATTATAGCTCTTTAATATCTTGAACAATATCGTGACACATTTACATCAAACTCGAATTAAATGGACTATTTTAAACAATTATTCTATGACTATTTAATTCTAAGTCACTGAGATATGCAGTAAGAAACTCATTGTCATTACTCACATTGCATTTAATTATGAACACTGAGTTTCTCTAAGTTTGCTTCAACTAGACTAAAATTTAAGAGAATAAATCCATCTATGATGAACAGATGAATAAATGAAATGTAGCAAACTGTCATTGATAATAAGCAGCTCAGTCGGTATAGTGGTTACTGACGCTGGTTGTCGCGCCGATGGGACCGGCTCAAATTCCCCGAGAAGGCATGTATGCTTGTAAGCGTATAGTAATTATTGTTCGGCAAAGAGGCATTGAAAATACACGGCCAGCTGAAAATCCTCTCGAGAGATTGGTAGGGGAAGAAGGGTGAGTGATTCTCGGACTGCCCCCTGTGGTATCTCCTTCAGTATCTGAGCAGAACAGCACAGTTAGAGCTGCGAGACTATACCTGTACGACCAATGGCGAATTTCTGGTATCCATCCCACTTCTGTCTGTATCCTATATCTGTCAATCATAATTTAATAAAACACACAACAAAATCAAGTTCAAATCGATGCTGTTTTTAAAGAACATATTCGTAGATGAAAATAATATGCTGCAGTTTTAAAAATGCGAAAATGATATTTAAATTTTAACTAGTTTCATGGAGCGATAAGTATGAAAGCAAACAAAATTCTACAGAAATTAAATGAAAGAAGGCCAATAAGATAATTCGTATGCCCCATTGTAACTGTGTTTATCAATACTGTTTTTAGCGATGACCATTAGCGAATACGAACAAACTTCGCAAAGTATTTTAACCTAAATGATCAAATTATAAAGTTATATTTTTATATGCACTTTTTAAGCAAAAATATTTCTCTAATTTTTAGACATTTGAATGTAATTATAATTGAAAGTATATTATATCAGACATTTGAATGTAATGTCATTGAATGTACATTATACCAGACATTTGAACGTAACAAAGCGATTACAATATGTAAAACACTTAAGAAATTGAAATAATTTTAAGCCTTGGAAAAAATTATGTTAATTTATTCCCGCCCTAGACTTCTTTTTAATTCAATTAAATGATTGAATCTAGTTATTTTTTTCCATCATAGGACGGAAAGATACCTTTAAGTATTGCAGCGAATGCCAATCATTTAGATGTTTTGCGATACCTCTTCAAGAGAGAGCACAACACCGTGACACTTATGGAAGATTCTTCGGTAAGTTGATGAAATTGTGTTTTAACTTCATATTCCGATACAGTTTTATGATGAACTTAAAAGACATATAGTTTTAACTACGAATAGAATGAAATATTTCCGGACTCTGCTTAAGTTTCCAGTACAGTTAAACGAGCAGTCAACTATACACTTATTTACATCCCAAAACTAAACTTCAAGCTGTATTCAATAACTTTCCTTTTTCTATCAAATTAGTATGTAATACCTACTTGTTTATCTTCTGATGTGTCAGCTGAAGTACATGTAGGAACCACACAGGAGAAGGGTAAAAAGAACCCTTTATTAACACTCTTTAAAATTCACAATGCATCGACTTGACGCTAACACACTACGCCTCACTTCGGCGGTAACTCAGATAACAAGAACTAGCTAAAAATTAGAAGATGTTAACAAGCAGTAGAATTACTCTAGAAGGCTCAGATAATCCTGCTACCTAAAACCACATTGAAGTCTATTGCAAGCAAAGTAATAGCTGTTACGCCACTTTAACCAGCAATAAATGCAGAACCAGATGCTAAAGCTACAAAGTTACCGTGCTTGCCCACACTCTCTAACTTTCCCTTCTAGAACTCAGTATTTAAACCTTTTCTCCTCAAAGTAGAATTTGCATCCTTCACACGCGCTACCAAATTTAAATATTCTGGCACTGACAATTAGAGGTATGAAGACTTGAACTTAGCTTAGGAAACTTAGAGAAGCTTAACTTTTTTTTAGTTTAAATATCACGCTGAATAACAATCAAAAACAAAGTCCAACATTAAGAATCAGCGTAAATTTTAAAAAATTATTTGCAGTACTAGTTTCGAGAGTTTTTGAACTACCTTCTTCAGCTGCTAAGTGTAAATGAACCAAATAAAGGGTGAAGAAAGATAATGAGCTAAACTTCGTGAATTTCATTTCTCCTGCATCGAAATTGATGAACTAATTTCACTTCCTCACCTCTGTTTGAATCAAACACATTTTGCTTTCCAAAATAAGTATTATAAGCAAAACTGAGGGATTAGCCATGGGAAGCCCTCTTAGTCCAATCCTTGCTGATATCCAGATGCATTATTTTGAATCAAAATTATTTTGAAACTTTAAACTTCACAGTTTGGTTCCACTACGTAGACGATACATTTACCCTGTTTGATGGTAAAGAAAATGATTAAAATAATGTTCTTTCAATAATGAATTCCATTGATCCTGCCATTCAGTTCAATTTTGAACTTAGAACTCCAATTATCTTCCATTCCTCGACATTTTGACTTCAGTACTACTGTTTACCGTAAACCTTCATCGGTTTGTCTTCCACCACACTTCAAATCATGTCATCCAACGAAACAGAAGTTAGCTTCATTTTATTTCTTTGTTTTCCGTGCACTTCAAGTTTGCTCCTCCAAATTAGCTCTTGATCAAGAACTAAATTATGTAAAAGCAGTTGCTATTAACAGGGGCTTTTCACCCAACATTATCAACCATGCAGTTAGAAAATTCTCATCGGAACACATCAAAGCAGCAATCCTTTTTTAGGTGATTAAAAGAATTCTTTGTCATTCCTTTCTTTCCGTCAATTAGCTATAAAATTGGACGTATTTTTCAGAAATTTAACTTTCGGGTTGTTTTCTCTCCTATCAATATAATTCCTAGTTCCATGCTTAAGGACTTCATTCCGGATATGAATTCCTGGGGTATTTAAAGGATTCCTTGCCAAAAAGCTTTAATATTTCGTGTTAATGAACATGAGGTATATGTTACGAAAAAGGAAAGACAGAAATCCGCTGTTGCTTAGCATTGTTGGAATGAAAACCACACGTTCCATTTTTCTGCAGCCAAAATTATTCAGAAAACATCCTCTATTGGTGAATTAGATTTATTAGAAACATTTCAGATTCCAAAAATTATTTCTGTTCTAGTTAATGACCCCAATTGCAATCCATCTTTACCTCCAGCCTTTAAAGTTATTTTGTTTTAGCTTTTCTTGTTTTATCAATAGACGGCGCCAATAGCTTAACTTCTGTCCAACTATCTTATCTTATATCTATCCTTATCTTATCTTTCTTCACCCTTTATTTGGTTCATTTGCACTTCAAAGTTCAAAAACTTTCGAAACTAGTACTTCAAATAATTTTTAAAAATTTACGCTGATTCTTAATGTTGGACTTTGTTTTTGATTAAACTTGTTAGTGAAAATAAATATAAATCCCTGCACGTATATAAATATCTCTTATAAATATTACCTACGTTGTGTAAGTCTTACGTTAAGAAATTTTCCCGGCTACGAATTCTGATACATGTCATTTTCGTTTGAGAATTCGATATGATATCTGCTTCGTAATCATAAATTTTTAAACATGAATTGTTCAAAAAGTACTGTCTTCAGATATATGGAGTACAATGGCAGGAACAGAGTTTAAATTAGATCATCAATGAAATATTTGTAAAGCATATTAATTTATAACGTTTATTAAATATCTTTTAAAATTATGAGGTGTGTCTTATATCACTGGTATATTGAAATATTACTAACATTAAGAGCTTTATAAATAACATTTTCTAATCATTTGACAAGAACTTTAAAGCTAATTTGTGAAACTTTTAATAAATATGGTGTTCCAAATAATAGAGCAACAAAGCAACATAGGTAGCTTACCTATGCTGTATTACTATGCTTACCTATGTTAGTATAGCATACTATACGTGGGTAATATTATTGTGAAAGAAAATTGTAAAAACAAATACAAAGAATTTGTTCATAAGTTAAGACTATTTTGAGGTTAGATTTCTATTTATTTAAATAACTATTTATTTAACTGCAGTGTGATTTATTTTTTCCCAATTCAGAATCGTTTCAAATGTTTCTGCATGATAATACATTCATATATAATATATTTTTATATGTGTGTGTTACGCGTCTTTAATACTAGTGATTAACCATCTATTAATATTCTTTCAATGCTTTTAAAATAAATACAGTGCTGTACATATTTACTTGTTTTATTTTAGTTTCTTGTTGACCTTATGGTATGCGGGAAACTTCATGACCATCTTCCCTTACTGGAATTTGTTTTCGTCTCCCCTGCACCAATCGACACTGCCGTCAAGATGTCCCGTCGCTACGAGGATTTAGCCCAAAGGGAAAAAGAAAGAGCAAGAGACTTAGAGACAATTTCAGTATTTTGTGAAACACTAGCTTCTGACCTTTTAGCTATTGCAGCTAGTAATAATACTGCAGGTATACTCCTCCAAGCTGGAGATCATAAAAATACCGTTTTTCTTGATGTGCTCATTGAATTAGAGAGAAAAGACGTTGTTGCACATTCTGCAGTCCAAAAATACCTTTCCGATGTGTGGATGGGAAATTTAAAATGGCCTGCATGGCAAATTATACTTCTATTTTTAGCATTTATATTTTGTCCTATTACGTGGATGGCTTGTTCTTTACCCCTGCATCGCTTAGCCAATATACCTATCATCAAATTCATGTCGTACCTCGTATCTCACATTTTCCTAATATTTTTGCTATGTTTTTCAATTTTAAATCCATATTTTCCTCTGTGGAACTCAACACGATTACTTCCTCATCCCCATGAGTGGTTACTACTGCTATGGTTACTGGGGTTCATGGTTGCTGTCAATGTGAATCCCAAAGAGCGTGGTGGTTTAGGTTGGATCAAACAAGTCATAGTTACTTTCGGCATGGTTGCTATTATTATTCACCTTGCGGGTTTCTTTTTCATCGATGATAACAGACTTGTGATATTATACATAAGAAATCAACTTTTAGCTGTATGTCTTCTTTTAGCATTTTTTGAATTCCTAAACTTTTTAACTTTTCATCATCTGTTTGGACCATGGGCTATTATTATAAGAGATCTCATGAAAGATCTAATGAGGTTTCTTGCTATCCTCGCAATCTTTTTAACGGGGTTTTCGTTACATATTTGTGCAGTTTACCAACCTGTCTTCAATCCAGGAAACACGACCGTAGCTGTGGGAGCAGAAGTTTTCCAGTCACCAATTGGCACATTCGAAATGCTCTTCTATGCTTTATTTGGTCTTGTAGAACCTGATTATATGCCTCCAATGCACCTAAGCCCTCCATTTGCAAAAGTAATCATGAAAGTCGTTTTTGGTGTGTACATGATGGTAACAGTCATAGTGCTTATAAACTTGTTGATTGCTATGATGTCAAATACATATCAAAGAATTCAGTCACAATCGGACAAGGAATGGAAATATGGCCGAGCCAAACTAATAAGAAATATGAATATGACTCTTCCTACTCCACCTCCTCTTAATATTGTGACATTCATCCCCACCTTAATCCAGAGATACAAAGCGAAAAAAGCAGGTATTTATCTTTTTCCCTTTTTGCTGCATAGTTAAGTCAAAAATTTCAGTATATATGATATCATTTAAAAATTTAAATGTTTTAAAATACGTTTTCAAGCGATTCTTTAAGATACTTATAATTTGCATCCTCTGAATTGAGATACCGATTTCACAGAAGTCAGAATACGAGTCACTATATTTAATGATGAAATCTTTCCACGAATACCGATTAAATTTCCAAATTTCGGATTGTTTCTGTAATTTTTTAATTTCTATTATAATTGTTAAATTAGTTTTGTAATTTTATGCTAATCTCTGCAAACATGTAAAGTAATCCTGTTCCAAAACTCAAACTAGAAAAATAAATTTTGAATTAATCTAAGTTTTACCGGGCTATCGGAATACTAGAAAAAGTCATTTCCCGAAGTTATGCGGAGGCGTCTTCCGTAGGCGTCATTGCAGAAAACTAATTTCGGTGCCAAACGATCCTTTTTTAAAAAAATCCAAATAAATGAAAAAAAATTGTAGTGCTGTGTAAGGAAGGAAAACACCATCCAATTAAGTGGTAATCTTGATCTAAAATTAAGGTGTTAAACACGTTTCAATTTTATAGATTTACAAATGTAAACTTCATTTTAAAAGCATATTATCATTTTAGTTATATTCTACTATTCATTATTTATGTTTATTTATCTTATTATACAAGTTGTAGAACACAGCCCCCAAAATGTTAATGTAAGCAGGAGTTTCTAGCAAGGCCGGTATTGACACCCTGGAGATCAATGGAATTTTAAAGGGAGTCAATGATGACCAAGGGGTCAGTTTGGGTCTATAACCAAATGTGCACCTGACATTGTTTGGCATAGTCAAGATCCCACTGATTACAAAAACGCACGGGTACGTTGTTTTGGAATTTAAAATTCATTAAAGAGAAATATCCCAAAATAAAAGATGTTACCGAGCCAACAATACTCAGATTTGTCTCCTCTTACCTGTGACAGCAGACTTTGGTCAAGTCAGTAATTTAGTTTGATATACAAGAAACAGCCTGAATATTTTAAAGCGAATATAAGAATTTAGTTAAGCAATTTTATGTTTAAGAATTTAGTTAAGTAAATTTATATTTAAGAATTTAGTTAAGCAGTTTTATGCGAAATATTAAAAAACATTCTATCAATACATCAAGCGCTGCCATTGCATTAATTAAACTCGAACTTTTGTGCAATTAGAATCTAAGCTTTTGGTTCTGAAAGCCTGTTTATATTTATGAAACCAAAAATAATAACAATATAAAAAATATAGAAAGAGGAATTTAGTAACACATTTTTTTTCCAAAATTTTTGTTCACATTCTTTTTCCAATTGTTATCTTTAAGTTATTTAGGAGCAATTATCTTAATTATGATTATGTTGTATATTATACAGAAAAATATAAAGGGAGGTCGATGAATAAAAGCAATCTTCTAAAAGGAATCTATGCAAGGAAAGGATGGGAATTCGTGATGTAAATCATCGATTGTAAAATTATTCGCGAAATTACTAGAATAAACTCTAAGCTGTAAATGTTTTGTGGGTTTTCATTACTTAATCTGCTAGCTCATCGTGAAATTTACTATCTACTCTTGTAATAAAATTACTGTTTTGAATTCCTGCTTTGTAGAATGATCCAAGATTCCCATTCTTTACTTTTAGACACGGTTTCACTATGATTATACACAATTTCTAGAAGTTCGAAGAATAGTTATTTCCGAAAAGATTAAAATAAAAAAGTATTTATTTTCATACATCTGTGTAGTAAATTTTAAGAACCTGTATTAACAATAGTTTGTAAACTACGCGTTATTACGAAAATCGTTCTAATTCAGCAATTTAGAAACCCACACAAAGTAAAATATAAATTATAAGATCATGTTCTCGGTGAAAACGACAGACATCATGGAATTACCATTTCTATCATGCATTCATTTTGAGGAACTTAATTTTCCCATCCTTTCAAAAAGCTTTAGAACCAATCCTATGAAGGAAAATTTTACGATATCGAAGTGCTTACTCCAATTGCTCTTTAGTGCTTTATTAGAAGTAACCTCGAACACAAGCACGACAGCTCATCCATACTAAGTTCAGTTCAATTCTATAAGAAATTTTTTTTAGTTAAGGATTTTAATATACTTGGATTAGGTATACTTGAAATCACAAGCTCTAAAATAGTGCGAATTTTTCTTTACCCTAAGACTTAAAATACAGAGTTTACGTTTTTAGGAATAAAGAGAATAATTACTGCAAAATATTTAAAATATTCGTCATTTTGTTCAAGCCTTCCTTGAAGCCCATGAATGCAATAAAAAAGATTCTTTCATTTTATATATGAAATTGAAGTGTTCAAAAATTTGAAATACTTACTGGATATTCGACTGAGATTTATAATTTAATTTTCGAAATTTTATGACTTTCCACATTTAAAGATATACCTATAAAGCTTAGCATTTAACTATATTTCTTTCTTAAGAAGTGTCATCGTCCCACAGGGCTCTAGAGATACGTAAACTTTTCTGTTTCTAGTGTAACTATCGCTTTTTATTAATAAGAAGTGCTTTCGGCTAATATTAATTGATCTGCATACCTTCAGTAAAAAATAATATTGACATGTACTAAGTGACTCAAGTAAGTTAAAGTCACTTAAACTGGTGTTTCCTTTTTCATACACCTAAAATACTTACACTTCTACGTGTTACAGCCGTCTATTATTTTTATATTAATTCTAAAATATACCCGCTTTCATTCTAAGATAATACTCATTTTATTTCCTTTCCTCGTGTATCTAAACTTTCGTTTTTTTCTTGTATTTTATCTGCCGGTACTGTAACTTCCTGTTCAAATGATCTTATGTCAGCATATATACTTTTTCAATAAATTTCTCAATGAATATTGATATATTATCAGTATTTAAATTGTACTACAGGAACTAATACTTGAAACATAGTGTTAAGCATTTTATAATAAAAATAGTTTTATAAAATAAAAACCTAAGAAAACAAAAATGTTTTACAAAAATTCCTGAATACAGCTGTTTCAAATCACGGAATTCCTTAACTTCAGAGATAAAATTACAGAGAATTTCTAGACTTATAAAAACGTCGTCCGATACTTGATCAAAATGTAATTTTTAATATATTGTGAACAAGAAGGGGAATTCATGAAACCTGATTCCACGCAAGCATTGCTTTTAAAAATAAAGAAACAGTTATAGTTTCTTGTATTTGTAGCTGACTTAGCTCATTATGTTAAAAAAAAACCTTCCGACTACAAAAACTTCCAATTTCATTTTTAAATAAAACAGCGTGAAGTGTTGAAATATAGTTTAAAGTTCAATTTAAAACGCTTTGAATAAAACTTATATCAGTAGAGCTACTTATGTAATATGTGTTTGGGTTTTGACGGGAAAAAAATAAATACACGGGAAGAAAATAAATAATTTATAATTACGGGAAGAAAATAATTTTAAATTTTATAAAATTTTATAAACTTGCTGTTGAAACTGAAGAATTATTCTTTACTGTTAAAAATGTTGAAGGTACGACAGTTAAAAAGATAAGGATAATTAAAGAAGAATTACTTAGCTGTTTGTAAAATTGTACTTCCCTAGAGATGTTAGATAACACTGTTGTTAAAGTGCGCAACTTAATTATTTCAACTGCTAAACACTCCATCTAATGAAGAAATCCCGTCTGCATAACAAATATTCCATGATGGTCAATCGAAATAGTTTGTATGTGAAAACAGCTAGAAGAAGAGATGCCAGAGAGCCAAAAACGCAATTTTGAGAGATATTCACAAGAGTATTTTGTTTGCAATAAGGTTAAATAGGTAAGTGTAGCGGAAAGAAACTTAAGTCTTGAAAAGATAAAATTACGATGCAAAATGTTTGGAAGAAGTTTTATTCTTTCGGTGTTAAAACGAATTTTTCTAAAAATACTGAAATTTCAGGAATTCAACTGTCGTCAGCGCAAGTTACTTCATCTTTTGAGGCTACGATAGATGCCATTTTGCAACGGTCATTTCCTCTTGAAAGCTGAAATCACGATGAGGAATTTTATAAAACTTTCCGCTTTGAAATGACTTCTTATGATGCAGATGATGAGTTTCCTTTTCCCATAGGGTTGTTGATGGTGTTATAAAGAGTTTAAAATTAGGTAGAACTCCCGAACCAGACAGAATAAAAAATTAAATGATTCGAAATCTGCACGATGTTTGTCCTGTAGAGTCTTCTAGTATGTTTTGCAATCATACACTGAAGACACTAGCTGAAAAGACTAACGAATTCTCGCTGGGTCTTGGAAGAACAGATGACTGCAAAAGTAGGTTTAAATAACCTTTTCATTTCAACTTGACCCAAAATGCAATCGTTTGGTGCTCACAAATCTACCACCATTTGTAGCTAACTTAACACAAAAATAAGATGTAAAATCACAATAAAGTAAGTTTGGCTACACCGGCTAGTTCCTTATTTATCTAAACAGCTAAATCGGCTGCACACAGCAAAGCCGAACTTAGAATATCAATGTGATCTAAAGAAAGTGGCTAAGCACCAACTATTCACGAACAAAGCTACTTCAAACACGTGGCATAAATTCCGAACTAACTCTCCTACTACGAACTCTTAAAACCTCTGCTTAAATACTGATTCCGAACTCATTTAGATTTGCGCATTACGTCATTAAAATTTACATTCTGGCAGGAAACTGAAATCAGAAGGGAAAGGAAAGTTCCTATAATTAAAAATAAATGGCTAGAATAAAATAAGATCTTTAGAAGACCATCTACTTGAAACGTCAATTATAGACCATCCACAATCTACTTGAAAATATAACAGATATAGTTTCCAGCCGTGTGGAAGAAATATAATAGAGCAACTGTTGGAAAACAGTGAAGAAATCTAATAGAGCTTCCCTGTGTGAAAGAAAGTATGTAAATATTCCTGAAAATACTGAAGTTAAGCTGTCTAATATTGTAAATATAAGATTTATCAGTCTTATGCCACGCTTGAGTAAATGCCTCGAAAATTTTGTGTAAACAGACTGAACTGGAACTTAAGAAGAAGAGATAGTTTGGATGAAAATGAATATGGCTTTACGCCTCAGTGTTCAGTTGAAGATGAGTTTCTTCGCTTAAATAACATGTAGAGTCACCAGGTTATTTTTTTAAAAGCAGGAGTCATGAAAAATGAGCAACGCCCGCGCCGGGAATCGAACCACGGTTCTCTGGAATACGCACCCAGCGTGCAGACCACAACACTACGAAGGCATGCTAAGAAGGCGAGATAAATACCTTATAAATAAAGTAAAGCGAGGTAAAGGCGAAAACTATGTCACGATAATGATCTTTCTAGATATAAAAGGGGCTTCTGATAATGCTTGAAGACCAGGAATCATAAATTTATTGAAACCTGCTAATGTACCTAGAAAATCTTCTACCTGATCAAGGATTTTTTGCATACTCATACTGTAGAACTTTCTCTAGATAATATGACGAAAGAATATAAAAAAGTTTGGAAAAGCGCTGTTTTGAAGGATCAGTCTTTGGACCTTCTTTCTTTGTGTTTGGAATCTTATAATTAATAATCTTTCGTGTGAATTAGATGCTTTTCAAAACTGTTTTAAAATTGCTTTTGTAGATGATCCGCTTTTAATTTTTCAATGCAGAAGTTTCGTAGATTTTTTTTTTTTTTTTTTTTTTTTTTTTTTTTTCTCAAGATTTTCAGTGGAGTAAACTTTATAAACCGAAATTTTACCAACTCAAAAGCAAAGTTATGATGGTACATAAAACGAAGAATGCTGATTGCAGGATGTGCTTATCACTTGGGAACTTTCCCATAGAAGAAGTTACTCAAATTATTTAAGTTATTTAAGAGTTATCGTTTTTTATTTAGGAGTATCGTATTCCAATTTCGCACGCAAATGCGAAAAGGTATTCATTAGATTTACTTTAAAATTTCTAAAATACTTACGGAGTCAAAGCAGATGTTCTTAAATTGAGCTATAAGCAAGGAATAGTGCGGTTATTTCCTATGCATCAAGGGTTCGGGGCGGATCTTTAATGAAGGAAGTAAACTGCAAGCTTCTAAGAAATATTCAAAGACGGTTTTATTTAAGAATTATTCGCGACTACAGAGCTATTTAGTTGCGAGGCTTTCTTCTATTATCGCTGGTATTGCTCCTATCAATATTAGAATTTTAAATAATATTGCGATGAAAGAGAGCATTTGCAGGCACCCCTCATCAGATTTTCTTGGTTGCAATCTTCCAGGGTTTAAAATTAAGCATTCTTTTGATAAGAATACTTTGTCGCATCCTTTTAATAAGATCTCTATAGCAAATGTTTCCTCTTTCGTTGCTATTCTTGAAGAGTATCAAATTATTTGTTTTAATGACGGAAGTAAGGTGAATGATAAGGTTGACTTTGATTTTGATTTTTATTAGAATAAACAAGAAAGAGACTTCAAACAGAAATAGTACAGAATAAGTGATGAGAGCTTTGTTTGTCGGGTTGAGTTGCTTTGCTTAAACCTTGCTGTGAAACGGATTCAAAATTTTTGTAGTGATTTGAGATAAATGTGCTTTTTAATATATAGTTGTAGAGACATTAGGTATTTTGGAAGCAGGAGAGAGGACAAATGAGCGATGCTCTCGCCGAGACTCGAACCACGACCTCTCGAATACGCGTCGAGAGTACTGACAACTACATCACCAAGGCATGCTCAGAAGGCGGGAGAAATACCTTATATAGTCATTCTCTAGCAAAACCAGCCACAAAACTTAACATTGATTTAAATCTCCGAGTTTTAGATTCTCCCTTGAAGCGCTTTTATAGAAATGATGCTATTTGTATTTGGAACTGAAAATATCTTGAGTCACCGAAAGTACAGGGTGTTTATAATTAAAGTTCCACTTTGAAATGGTCATAAAAGGAAAACTACTGGACCAAATGTTATCAAACTTGGTAATCGGGTAAAGGAGGTCCTGGGAAATTATTTTCCGTGAAAAAAGGAAAACGTTCGAAAACTCATTACCAGGAGGGAAATGGCAATGTATACAATATTGTTAAACGAAATAAGGATCGGAGTCTAACTTAACTTTTTATAAGGCGATAAAAGTCGAATGCACCATCCGCGTAACGGAGAAATCCGTTCGTGAAAAACACAAATTAGCAAATAGAAAATGTGAGATCGTAAATCACTCGCAAAAGTGTGTGCAATCCGGAAATCGTTTTCTTACATATCGCTAATTTGTGATTTCTGAAGCCTGAATTTGGCCCTAAGACATAAAGATATCAGTTTAAAACGTTTTTAATCGTTTGTAAAACGAAGTTGTTTGTGTGGTTATGAAAAACCGCAATGGCTTATTATTGGCTTACGGCAAGAAGAAGCAAATGATTTATGCAAATAAGCTAAACAGTTTGGCGGAATTAAAAGATGTGATACACCGACATGTCCGTAACATTCCTCCTGATATGCGAAAAACTGCTGTTGAGAAAGTAGTACAATAATACGATTTAACTTGTTTTCGGAAAATGGTGGAAGCCACATCGAACATGCTTGTAACACGTTCCAGAAACGATTAAACAAATTTTAAACCAATGTCTTCATGTCTTATTTCGTTTAACAATATTGCATACTGCTTCATTTGCCCCTGGTGGTGAGTTTTTAAACTTTTTTTCCCGCGGAAAATAAATTCCCATGACCTTCTTTACACGATTACCTAGTTTGATAACATTTGGTCCAGTAGTTTTCCTTTTATGACTATTTCAAAGTAGAACTTTAATTGTAACCACTCTGTACAATGGACCAAAAGGATTTTTCCAGCAGTTTTTCACAGAGTAAAAGTCGAACAGTTTTCAACAGATTTTAAATTAACTCATTTTTGTCAAAACATGGCAATTTTCAGAGCAATTTAAAGCGATTTGGACTTAAGTGCATTGTGCAGCTGTGGTAGCAGCGATAAAGATGTTACTCACATTCTTCTTGAGCGTGTTCATAATATCCAGCACAGGATGGTACTTCAGGCCACTTTAAAGCACCTATCTGTATCTTGACCACTAATTTTTTTCTGAACTTTTGCGGACTGAAAAGACAATTTTTGCTTTACAGAATTTCATTTTTTGTCTAGATTGTTGAGTTATTTAATTTCTTGTTTTATTACTTTGTATTTTTTCTTTTATTTAATTTTTTTAACTTCCTCTTCCCCTTTGCAGTGCTATTGTACATTTGTTTGTTTATTTTGTAATGCTGTAACTTACTTGTGTAATCCTCGTGGTATACTTAGTGAAGCACGAGGAGCTGGAATTAAAATTAGCAAAAAAAAAAACAAAACAAAACAAAAAAGAGGCAATGGAATTTCCATGCTTTTTAATACAAATATTCGCATAGACCTTCTGAAAATTCCTCTAAAACTGTAGTTATGTGTTAGTGTGAACTTTATGTGCATATTTTTAGTTTTAATTGTACTAATTCCTGTGCTATTTTTAATTGTATTGTCGTTTATCTTTCTCAGCTGCTAACCGAGCCGGTAGAAGTGAACCAAAACTAGAGAAAGGGACAAGTATTCTTTGGTTGTTTGGTCACAGAGCGGCAACAACTTGGTTTAATAGGAAAATGAGAAAAAGACCAATTCAAGTATCTCCAGTTGGTGAGTGAACCAATGACTTTTAGTAAGGGAAGGCCTTTCTAGACACGATGCTTCAAAATTAGGGGATAGATTTTAGATAGATTTTAATTTTTACAGTGCGACTTCCATTTCTCTGAAATAAGAAAAAAAACTCGTTAATAGGCAAAGCAAAAATGAATTATTTTATTTAGAATTCTGAAAATATAGTATTAGAATTTCTTTTATTAATTATAATAAACGTGAAATGTTTGTATAAATGACCAATTAAGTATAATATGAATATTAAGGATTAGGTACACTTATGAATTCTATGTGCTCTATCTATACACATATATATAGAATATTTCGGATATATATATATATATATATATCCGAAATATTGCTATAAAATAAAATAGATAAGAAATGAGAATATTGCTTTTAATTCGCCTCGTTTAATGAATAATAAGACATTTTAATTTAAAAATTTCCCCGTTGAAGGGCAACACAGCTATTTTGTCTTGTCACCTATTTGGTAAGTTAAAGATCTCATCTCGCACGAAATAGTGAAACTTACCTGGCACGAACGGATGTTAAATGCCGTGTTAGCATAACGTAATATTACGAGCCGCAAAAACAAAGTCTGAGCTAAGCTACTGACGTTTCTAATGTTAGCACAAGTTGTTGCTAAATATCGTATGAGATATCTGAAATTTAAATTTGTCTAATGTTAAAACAATTTTAAATAATTTGACTTAGCTCATATTTATTTTAATCTTAGAATATTAAAAAGGATATAATACAGAGACTTAGAGCAGATTGAGTGCAGTTCGTGTTACTATAGTTAGAGATAAAACTTTAATTGTCTAGATAATCAAAATGCCTAACCCAAATCCCTAAACTATGTTAATGATATTTTAGGGTGAAGTATTTACAGAGCTAATGTAGCTGCCAGCATTCTGAAATATATATTATATTTGTATCCTTGCTTTTATGATAGTTAAGTCTGAAATCTCAGTCTTAAAAAGAACTTTCATTGCCGCTCTAAACTGTTATGATGCAAGATCCAGTTATCCAAATCGCAACTGGTATTCAAAATTAAAGTGTATTTATAAAATTATGCTAATTGTACAAATATAGATTAAAATACAACTGACTGTAATTTTTTATGATAATTATAAGCTACGGAACACAAAAATTTAATTCCGCGTAGGTATCTGCTCACAGAAAGTGAAAATAAAGAAGATGTTAACATATCATAAAGAAAATATGCTGGACGTCGAGCACATATCCTGATCAAACGTTATCTGACAATTTTTTAACTTAGAACTTTAAGTGTGAAAATAGGCAAATACTGTTAATCATATCTAAAGGACATTATTTATATGAAAGCCACAAGTGAGAAGTGGTCGTAGACACGGGCGAGCTAAACACAGCTGCACATGTTCAAAGACTGAAATTTTCGCATGCTACAAAGAAACTGTTACGCAACTATAGATAGTTAGCTTGGCCCCTTTCAGAAGCCATTCATACCGGAATAAGCAGACTTACTGATTATGAAAGGCTTTCCAAATATAATCTTTATATAAGAAAAACTACTATGTTACTTTAGCATGTCCGCGTCTTCCAGAAAAAAGCTCTTAGGTTGGTGTCGTTTTCATTGTCATTGTAGCCAAAATGTCTGGGCCTGAGTGCTCTCAAGAGGTATTAAGTTCTCATCATATTTAATGTTTCTGAACATAATTTAATTTGAAGAGAGCCTAGAATACTAGATCTTCCATTACGTATCCGTGAAAGACATAGTTTTCAAGTTGTAGAAAGCAAACATGAAAAACCACTGCTCCGAACTCCATTATCTCTGACAGAGATTTTATAATCGCGCAAAGCTGCGTAGAAGTTCTCATTACCCTAGTACGGTTTTTAGGTATGCTGTGGGCCTCGATTTCTTGTTCGTATATAGCTCATAACTGGACTTCATCGAGCTCCTATAGTCACCAAGTGACTTCTAATTGAGTATTTTGTTGAAATGGATTGGTTACTATATCTGCTTGACTTCAATCCTGTTGAGGATATCTCGAATGTTCTATGTCGGCGAGATGAGGGGAGACTGCTCTCTTCTTAGACTGTCCAGAAACCTAGAGTTTTCCTATTCGAAGAATGGCGTTTTGATCTCAAAGCTAAAGTGACGCCTTAATTAATGGTACGGAAAGACACTGGACATGTGCATTATCACTAGCGGCGATCACATTTCCTATTAAATAATAATACACTCAGGAAGACTGAAAATAGCGCACCAAAAAGGAAGAAAGGTAGAACAGCAAAACGTTGCAAATAAGTACAGTGAGATCCGATTTGCAAATGATTCAAGTTTAGTGCCAATACGCATGGTTACACAATACCCTTCAGTGGCTCTGCGATCAACAAGTGGATCCTAAATAAACAGGGGCATAGACGAATATTCATAAACTTGAAGATCACATTCCAACTTTAGGAGGACATTAGTAAGAGCAGAATGCCAAGTACACTTGTGAGAAGACATTTCTCACAGTTGCAAGTTTGAGATGGGCTTGATCATGGCATGAAATCAGTAGGCTGGTTGACGGGCCGTGTTTCTCGCCGCGCTGATCGTTCGGAGTGGGCCGTCAGAACATGTTAGGAGCAGTAGACCGAAGTTGATACCCTCGTGTGGAGAATTGGGTCCGGAGCGACCAGGAAGACAACAAAATGAGAGGATCGAAGGATAAAGCGGCAAGGGCTCGTGGATCCCACAGTGACTCGTTTCACGATATAAATAGGTATAGGGGCGCATTTGTTCAATAAATCATTTTCAGACGTTTTGCGGAAGTGAATCTGCAATCTAAACATCCTTTAGAGTACTACTTTTACCACCGAAACATATAGCGGTACCAAGCCAGAGCAACGTGGAAAGCCACAGATTGGCAAAACGTGGTGTTTAGTGGGGAATCGCGGCTCGTGTTAGGGACCACACCGCGTACGGGTGTGGAACCGTCTTGGTGAATACAATTCCGCATAAGCTGTGGCAAGATACTTTGCCCGCACCGCAGCGTAATGGAGGACTGTAGCGGTCCACTCTAATTGTGATACATGGAACTTTATCGGAACAGCCTTATGTTGATGACATTCTTCGACTCCACGTGACCCCTTCCTAAAGGGTCTTCCATGGGCAATTTTCCAGCAAGATAAAGCTCGTGCGTATGCAGCTCGATTTGCTCAATACTTCCTACGTCATGTTCAGATTCTTCCATGGGCGACTTGTTCCCTTCAAAGCTTGAGTAGGACCAACTGAAACGCCATATGCCGCCGTGTTACTCTGTACCTTATTTGGAAGTGGCTGTTCAAGGTTTGTGGGCTATCTGCCTCAGAACAACTTCAGATGTCTAATCAATTCAACGGCAGACCGTGCTGCGGCATGTACTACAGCAGGAGGCCGTCCGACGCATTACTAAAGTTGCAGTACATTTATCTAATTGTACACACTGTATTTGTTTAGTTGTCTTGATTTTGAATCAAATTAATTTCTCATCTGTATCACTATGTGTTTTAAATCTCATTTCAATCCGATGCTCCCTTCTTGGTGCGCTATTTTCAACGTTCTTGAGTGTATCTTCGAAATCTGAGGTGACGTACTTTTTGTTTTTAATTCGCGCGTAATTTGGCATTAGCGATTAACAGCAATTCGATAGCATTATTCATTTTGTAAGGAATGTCATAAGTCTTTCTAAATGTTTATGTGCAGTCTTCACATGGTTGTTTACCCTGTAACAAAACTTTAGCAACAAAAATAAGATACTGGTGTGCATATTCGGTCGTATATATTCGCACAAAAAAGACAGTTGTTTAACAGAAGGGTTTATAAATAGTTGAATCGTAATAGCAAAAATGATAAATTAATGGTTGTTTGAAGAAGAAAGAATTTTACATGTATTAATTATTTTCAGATTTTCGGCAGAGCGTAGAAGGAAGTCATGGTGATCTGCGGCCTATTAGTTCAGTTATTAACTGGAAAAGCATGGTGAACAAATATCTTGAAATAAAAGGCATTGATCTAGGAACAACACCTCAGGATGGAAGTCAAGAAGACTGACAATTCCTTTAAGAACAGAGAAAACATTTATTTTTTTGGTCTAAATGAAAGAAAATAAATTTGAGAATTAATCTTTTTATATATATAATCATTTATATTAATAAGGAGCTTACATATGCTTTATTTGTAATAATTTATTAATGTGAACATTCGTGGAATGCCAGAAAGAGAACAAATACCTCAAGTCCCAGACGTGGTCAGATGTCATATTTAGTTATATTTTAGTTTCTCAATGTAGTTTTCATAAGCGTTTTTTAAGGATTGATAATAAATAGATTTCTATACCTGTTTCAGTTATTTATTTCGCAAACAAACACTCTCACGTAATATAAAAATTTTAAACAATTTAAACATATTTCAGTCAACAAGCAATCGGATCTATAAAATACAAAATTTCCGCACAGTTCGAACTCTTATTTTTTCACCCTGAAAATAAATCTTCATACAACCAGACATCGTCCTTTTCTGAACTTTCATATCTGAATTAGAAACCAAGCGGACCATTATAATGGTTCCTTCTAACTGGACTTGAATGTGACATAAATATTTCATTTCCTTTTTAACAGGATTGAATTCAAATATCTCATTTCTAGATTTTTTTTCTCTGCACGTAAAAGAAGCTATCAAAAACATGCATACCATATCCAGAAAGCTATACCCTTTTGAAAATAAAGAAAGCACGAAATAAAGTTATTGAGTATAACTATTTCTATTTTTAAATGTGCATATCTAATGTTATTACTCCTCAGAGGCACTCACGGCCCTGAAGCAGCTATTATACCCATGTGTTGAAAAATCCAGTTTCATTTTCTGGAACTCTTTGTTTTGTTTGTGCAAAGCACCATCTACTCCAAAACGTCTTTTAACTTTGTGAGAAGGTGCTAATAGTTAGAGAGAAATCGGGTCCGTAGGCCGATTACCTCCAAATTTCCCAGTGGAAGTTCGGAAGCAGATATTATATAAAAGCGATGTGATCAGACAGGATGTTTTTGTGGATTTGGGAAAATAATTGGTTGGCAATAAAAATTTCTAGAACATGATAAATGCATTCATTAGTAGTTAACACTCAGGTGAAAGATGAGAATATTAAAAAACTTGTGTCATAAATAAATGCCTCAATAATGTCATACAAGCCTCGTGTCTATGTGGAATAAAAGACCAACGCATGTACTTTCAAAATTAAGACATTTTGTTCAACTAACGTCTTTTGATCTTTGTTATTAACAAATGGTCACTTCTTCCAGGACGTATGATATACGATCAACAATTTTTACTGAAGATATATCAACCGAATTTTCGGCATTTAAAATGACAGCATGCCTTTTCAAATAAAGACAAGGCATTACTAAAATTTTGTATACTATCCTGTGAATACTGAAATGAATTTCTAAAGTAATAGCTTTCGCAATCGTAAAATATTATCAGTATTAACTACATTAAAACTAAATGTGACAAATTTCTTTGGGGAAAAAGGCGAACAGCCCGAGTAAGACAGCCTGGAGCCAACGCATAGCATTCCATCAAAAGATCCCAAAGCCCATTCTTCCAGTTTTCATAGGGAAAAATGTAGGATTTAAATTAATACTCGTACATAGAAATAGTTGGGGGCTCCCTTAAAAATGAGACTATAGATCTCAGCTTCATATGCCCAAGTAATAATCAAGACCTGGCAAGGCATAGCTCTACGGAGATCCATCGTCAGTTGCATGAAGTGTAATAGCGATGAAGCAGTTTCGTCCGATACAATCGCAAAATGATGAGCAGTGTTTAAAAAGGGTCGAACGGATGTTGAAGACGATTACCAACAATGACGTCTGTTAATTTCAGGAATGGAGGACAAATTTAATCGTGGTATTGAATTGATTCTAGAAAGCAGGCGAATCATTATTATTAATCGCGGCTTATATTATCATTATTATTAATCGCGGCTGAACAGGGTACTTGGAATGGGAATGTCTATCATATTGTAGCAGAGTGTCTGTTTTCACCAAATTTGAGCTCGATGGGTGCTTCATCTAATGACAGATCAACGTAAGGAATGATACTCCCGAACTGTTGCATTTTTATATCAGAGTGAAAGAATGAAATGATTAGTTGGACAAAATCCTTACCGGAGACAAGTGTTAGACCCATCACGTTCAGTAGAAAGGAAACGGTAACCGTACGATTTCCACTTGCTTACACGTTCAGACTTATAAAAGAACTTGAGAAGATGAGATACCGCTCCGAGCTCCGAGGAGGCAGTCAAAATTGTGTCGTAAGAAGGGAGAAAAGTAAGCTCGATGAGTAATTTAAACAGTCTTGAACTTGTTTGTGTCTTGTTTATTCCCGTATTTCAGTTTCAAACCTTAACTGTCAAACAATTATACGTTTTAATACAATGTTATTGATTCATCAGTATCCAGTAATAAAATGCATGAAAAACGTTTTGATTTTGTAAAATAAAAAAGTATTTTAATCACATGCAGTTAAGAATATTATGATAACTAAGAAAACTATTTTTTAATTTTTAATGGATTTAACTAAAGCATGCAACATAAAGTTTTTAAGTTTATACATTTTAATTTATACTTTTCAGTCTTTAAAATGCAAAAACGTCAGAAAAAATGAAAATTATGGCCTCTAAAAGTAGGAAACTTGAATTTATAATCAATATAACAACGAAATATATATTCATTAAATCCAGTCTCATATCATGGTTTCATTAATAATCCCCATGATCAATTCCATTTACCTCCATGATTTCATTAACCGTAAAATTATGGGGCTCGCAAAAATGAAAAATTAAACTTTTTTTCTTTAAAAGTCCACCATTTTAGCAACCGAATAATAGCTAGAGAAATCGAATGACTTTTTTTAAATGCTTTAGACATTTAAAAAGATCTTTATTTAGAAGATTATTCTTTTATATATCTGATGGTGCAAATCTCGAAATTCTTCGTTGAAATGTTTGATACCTAGAGAAGGATATATGAGAAAATTTCAACGCTAAATAAAAAATACGCGCATCAAATTTTGAAAATTTTTCGGGAATACCGTATTTTTATCGCAATTACATGTATATGGAAAATTTGAAGAAAACTGAATCGGTAGAAGGAGATCAAAATTACTTTCATGATTTGATGGGAACAAACAGAGACGTCAAGTTAAATAAAACAACATAAAATTACCTTTTTGCAGCTGTTTTTTACACATGAAAATATTTGGGAAGAATTCGTTCGTGAAATTTTTATCGTTTTATTACCTGATGTAAAATAGCCAACCATAGATGACCATTAATATTATCGTGCAAAAGGGAACAATTAACTCATCTGAACAGCAAAAATGAAGTTTTCATATTGATCGTTCATTGACTGAAAGACGAGAGATCTGCAACTTTCTGTGAAAGGGAAAAAAATTGTGTCTTTCTTTTATAGTAAAGCTGGTAGAAAATATTTCGAATCCACGGTTTAGCCCAAAAAGGGTAATGGATGATAAACGCTTTAAATGGTGCCCCTTTTCATGAGATTTTGTTGCATAAAGGGGAAATTGGTTTTACTAGAATACGCGTGATTTTTGCCTGGTAAGAAGCCTCACCAGTTGCCGAGTGGTTAAAGACTGCTGAATATTAGGAGTTGGATCCAGACTCTATCTCGAGCTGTTTAGGTAAAATGGTCCTGGGGATCAGAACATAAGGTGAGCTACCGCTACCGCCGTATTTAAATTAGTGTTTGGTGTGTGTGGGTATAGATATATATACATATATATGTACACACATAAATGTGTGTGTATGTAAAATAACTTGGTTAATATTTCCAAAAATGTTTTCTTTCAACTAGTGGCCACTTTCTTTCTAGAACGAGTAGTTAAACCCTTCTCAAATGAGTTCTAAATAACTGAGTTTTATGAGATTCAGTATGAAAGAAAATGTGACAAGTTTGTGTGAAATATGTATAAATACTGAATGAAGATCACGCAAAAAAAGATGAATGCTTTTATGTCATCCCAGTCGGAAATTTACTCTTGTCAAATATACTTGAATTGAAGATCACGTTTTTCAGCTTGTAACATTCAACTTGAAATTATGATACTCTGTAGTAAACTTTTAAATCTTATATCCGCATTCGAGTTTGAATTCATACCTTGCAGAACACGTAAAATAAAATAGAAGGTTCTTAAGACATCAAATGAAAAATAATTGCACTTAATAACCATCATTTTCAAACATTTTGTTATCAAAAAGAGACTTTTTACTCTACTGCCCAATATTTATGTTTTATTATGTAAAAGTTTCTCCATATTCTCCCCCTTTCCTCCCAGAAATACTTCCCTAAAAGCTTTTCATTGAAGGAATGCAAATTAAGTTCATTTCTTTCCTAAAACAAATTTTATATTATTTTAAATTATATTTTAAAATCTTATTGTTAATTGATAGTACTTACTATACTTGCCTATTCTTCTTTACTTCAATACTTAGAATAATTAAATAACTATTAAACTAAATTTAATTTTCATGTATATTACATATTACTTAAAGTAATACTTTGTTGGTACAAATGGCATTTTTACGATGGTTCCAGCGAATTCTTTTTTATGAATTAAGAAAGTGACTTGGGTTCCAACTTTCGATGATGATGTTTCTATATATCCCATAGAAATATTTTTATTTAAGCAAGGAGATGGGCATCCACTTGTTATTTCTCCTATAGTTTTCCCTTCTTTATTCATTATTGGAGCATGAGCTGTAACATAATATAAAATTTCTTTTAGAATAAATAAAACGTAAATACATACTTTTCTCTGCAACGTATATGCAGCAATATGACATTATTTATCCAGAATTAAAATACAGTTTTTAACATCCTAATGACATTTGATAATTTACTTTGCCCTGAGATTCAATTAGACATATATATCTGTTAAACAATTCTCTGTTTCTGCTTTTTGAATTTTTTGCAGGATAAATTTAGAAATCATATACTTTGCTCTTATCAAAATATTTCTGCTTACCTCTAGGACAGGGTCCAGTAGAAAGGAAACCAACCCTTTTGTGTTTTGGTTTTTCTTTCAGCTGAGGTAAAATTATTTCCGCTCCTGGAAATCCACCTTCAGTTCTACGTCTTTTACCTTCAAAACATACCAGAACACGCTTAATTTTATTAAATTGTAAACCTGTGATCAATAGTTATTAACATATCGTTTATTTGGTTAAAACTTAAGTGCCAAAAATTCTGATCTCAACGTTATATAAATAAACTCCTGCTAAAGTGTATCATATCAGGCAAACTGTATTACTTCTTGTACTTCCAAATATATGACAACAGTATTTCAGTGTTAAATAAAATTGTTTTTTCTATCCAAAAAATGCTATAACCACTTTCTTTTTACACTTTTGTTCAAATGTGTCATAATCAATTATTAATCCATGAAAAGTACGCAAGGGTTATTTGCCTGTATTCGTATCTCTAAATGCAAAACATGATTCCATTTATCTTCCTCTTTTGATAAATTTGGTAACTCAACAAACGGTGCGTTGAATCTAAGCGAATCTAAGCATCTCATGTCCCTTTTCCTTTACCACTAACTTCTGAAAGGCCTTTCGGATCAATAAATTTGAAATGTCCGCATTCTGAACTGGTTTATTAGGTTCATTGACAAAAATGTCAAATATGATTGAAAAATTAAATAAAAAAACCTAAAATTAGAATGAAATCTCCCACCCCCTTCTCGGCTTCGAGGGAGATTCATGTAGGTCCTTCTTCGGAGTAGAGATTAAAATGAGACCGTAATGCTTTCTCAAGCATTTTGGACTAAACCTAATTGCACTTGATGATGATTATTCATACGGGTTATTTTGGACTAAACCTAATTGCACTTGATGATGATTATTCATACGGTTTATTTTGGACTAAACCTAATTGCACTTGATGATGATTATTCATACGGTTTATTTTGGACTAAACCTAATTGCACTTGATGATGATTATTCATACGGTTTATTTTGGACTAAACCTAATTGCACTTGATGATGATTATTCATACGGTTTGCCTCGAACTAGTGTTTTCTTAAGTTCAAAATAAGCAATAATGAAATAAATGAGATGAAACGAATTCTCTAACCCTGAAATAATTCGTAACTGATTTATAAACATTCATTGATTTCAGTATCTTAAGATTATTTGCACTCAAACTGAACATGCAGACCATTATCTACGAACTTTCGTACATCTCTTTTATAAACTATATTATCGTATGAATGGGATTCGAGTGAAATTCTTTTTTTCCTCCACCTCTTTCTTCTTTCCTCCACCTTTTTCTTCCTAACCATGTTCAAAACTGCATAAAAACTCCAAAACGTAACCTGAGAGATATTTAGTAATTACGTTGTTAATTGACAGAAGCGATTTGTTGTGCTCCTTCAACCAATTGCTCGTCCATTTTCTGAAATATTCCAGAGACGTTCTCACAAGAAGATTCCATCACATTCCTTACGCTTTTCTCTACGAAATCTAGTCACTTTTGTTTATCGCTTACTGATATAAAAATTAGAACTCATTACTTCGCTCTTTACTTCATCGTTAAGGTATGGGAAATGCCAGAAATGGACTAGGAACAAGTACAACACGTCTTCGGATACAAACTTTGATTTTCGAGTACGGATTGGGAGTTTTCCAAATGACTTTGATGTTAAAGCCACTAGGATGTAATAATTGTCATGCTAAACTTCATAAATTCTTCAAAATAGTAAATATGCAGACAATGAAAATTTAAAGCCCTGCAAATATCTTAAAAGTTTTAGCGTGCCAATGCTCTATATTTACTATACAAATTAAAAATCACAAACAAGTGACACTTACATTAGAAAAATGCATTACTCTTGTAAGAATTATGTTAATTTTATTAATAGTTAAATTTTAAGTTAAATTTCCTTTCCTGTCAAATTCTTAACTTCAACTTACTACTTCCGGCCAGAACGTAGTTTTGGAATCTTTCTGAATACTTAATGAGGAGGAGCGGTATTTAAACCGCGAAGTTACTTAAAGAGTGAGAGAGAATCAGAAGTTACGCGCGTCTACCTTTTGGCCACTCTCTCTCAAAGCTGTTATTACGCTCGGCCGTACTCAGGCCCTTGTTAAGCTTCGCAGTCAAATAAAGTTAAGGGGCCAACTCGATTAGATCTTGATAGCTTCGGCTATATTTCTTTAGTTAATCTTAGTTTTAGTTTAATTCTTAGTCTCTTAAGTTCAAGCCCAAGTGTCGGTTGATTGTACACTCCAAGACGGAGTTTTGTAATCTTATTGGAATAATAAAGGGTTAGTTACCCTTCCATCTTGTTGTTTCTTGTCACACGAACTTAAGCGATTATTCGCTAACTAATTCTTAATATTCGTCACTTTCTACAGTAACTCATAATTACACTTTGAAAGTCTTACACTCTTTTGATTTTTTCTTCCTCTCCCTTCTCTTCCAGAGAAAGAATTCTGAAAATGTTTCTTACCAATTGTCCATGATAGACTTGCTTCTACAGGCGTAGTTGTTTCAGATATATCACTTCCATATAAACATAGTCCAGCTTCTAATCGCAATGTATCTCTTGCTCCTAATCCAGCAAGCTTTACATCATCCAAATCAGACTCTAATATCCTTTCTAAAATAAACTGACTCTTCTCTTCTGGTAAGGATATCTATAAAACAGTATGAGATTAAAAAAAGTAAGTAAATACTTCTGATTTCTCGGAAGAGCGCTGATTTATCAAGGGGAATTAACACTTCTCCCAGAATCAGCACTTCCCTTGATAAGTCAGCCTCTTCCGAGAAATGGGCAGTTTAATTTACTTACTTTTGTATATATGTATACTATTTATACTATTGTTTCTCTTTTTATTTTATTTTAAAATGTAAGTTTTTGAGGCATACCAATACAAATTTGAAATTTCTTTTAAGTTTATTACAAGTTTTTTATAGTTTTATCATAGTCCTCTTAAGTTTTAACATTTCCTTATTTCAGTTAGAATTAGATTTACTCTTCATTTCCTAGGAAATTATTATATTCAGAAACTTACTGATTAAATTTCAGTTTAGTCTTAGCAGCGATTTTCACTTACAAAGTCCATTCATGCCTTTAATTTTTCATTCAATATCTACAGAGAGAGAGTGTATGTGTTGCCTGCTATATTTTTCTCAAAATAACAACTGCCAAGTTTACCGAGAAGAAGCAATAAGTGATATCATCATGCTGGCATGAGCATTTCGTTTCTATTTCATAGATGAAAATGTTTGATATCATTAATAAAGACTGCTTAAAGAAGCTCATAAACTTTTCAGATTACCTTTTTTCTCATTTACCTTATTGTACAAACAGAACGCAACGCAGACGCGTTACCTTCAGGAGAGCTTAATCTAGAATATTCTGCTTTCTGTGACGATTTTTAATCTACGAAAAATTTACCGGATCTGTGGGATAAATTTTATCTGGTCGCGTCTGAACTTTGATGTAAACGTCATATCAAAATACTGAAAGCGTTTCGTATTTAGGCTCTCACTGTGTTTTAGACTGTAATCGTCTCTTGCTATGATTAAGTTGTTTTCATTAAATTAATATATTTAAAATTTTAATGTCTTTTTTATCAGTTTTCGTTTAAGCTGACAAAGATGATGGAAGTCCCTGAATTACGGTTCAAAATGCAGGGACTTTCTGCATCATCTTTTTCACACAACTGCATATATCCCTTAATTTTTGAGAGAAGTTTATATGAAATTTTTAAATATTAAATCAGCACTTTGTATTTAGCAGAAACTTACTTAGCAAAAGTCTGTTTAATAACCTTATTATATGATCACATATTTTTTGAACGTGCATACCTCAACTCCATCTTCTCCAGTGTATCCACAACGGGTAATTCTGCAGTCATCAACGCCACAAATTGATGAACAAGTAGATGTCATAAAAGTCAGGTCACTTAGATCACATCCAACTAAAGGGTCCAGCACTTTTGCTGTACCAGGACCTGTAAAGAAATGCTCTTTATTATGCATCAAGGGTAGGAATGAAACGTGTGTTTTTATTTTAGGTTCAAAGGAAAATTACACATCTTCAAAGACAGTTTTATCAACACCTGTTTCTGAAGTGTTAAAAATAAGAAATTTTACTCTATAAATTAAACTGAAATACACTTACCTTTATTAAATACATAAAACATTCCTTAGGTTTAATTTTAAATTTGTTTAACGAAGTTAAAAAACGAATCTGTATAATGTCTTTTTTTTTTTTTTTTTTTGTTAATATTAAGAGATTTGTTTTAAACTGGGTTTGACTGGATTACTTTATTTTGGAAAATCACGCTTTAACCTCAGCGTGATTTTCAATTATGTGCCTATAGGAAGTAATGACCTAGCAAACGATTTTCTAAGGAAAAATAATTCTCATTTAGTTCATGCATGAGGTTATACTGCTAGCAACCCGGGTATGCTTATAATCCTGGGCATGTGTTCAGCATTTCCGGGTTATAGCCCTTCTACTGCTAATGCATTTTTAAAGTAAGGAGATTTTTTTGATTGAAGTTTTAACTGCAAATTAACGAAGATTTTTTTTAAGTACCATGAAAAACAAAATCTAAATAAAAGCATGTAGGTAACTATCAAATTCAGTTTCTTACTCTTTATGAATGTTCACTGCATCATTAAAACTTATTTCATATTTATTCCAATAATTTTCCTTCAGTTTTCTTTAGCTGTATCTACAATGGAAAAGAAACCTGGTCTATCCATAACATTCAACATTCCTTATTCCTTACCTTGTACTGCCAACAGTACCCTGTCTTCTAGTACTTCGACTTCCACGTCCGCACCTTTCATTTTGAATTCTTCTTTTCTCTTCTACAAAAAAAACCACAATACTCTTATAAAAAAGGTGGTTAAATTAAACATTTTCTTCAATAAATATATCCTGAAAAAATAAAATGTTTTGCTATCTAATTATTCAAGAAAAATTTACTATCAAATTTTTTATTGATTAACACTTTCACACATAATAATAAAAATAATTTTAAGATTTCAGCAATTTAAAGTAAAATATTTTATTAAGCGGGAAGAAATATTATTTAATCTTTATTTTATTAAAGATATTTAACTAAAATTTGTAAACGTTTGTAAAATACCTTATAATAATTAACCAGTTATTAGAACTTAAGTATTTATTACAGGTTCTCTTTTCCGTGTTCTTCACCAGAATACAAATAGTTTTGTATTGTTAGATTAGAGCTTCTAACAACAGCGTCTTGCTGATAGTACTCTCCCCAGCAATGCTTAAAAGTTTTATTTTCCGGCTTTAGCATCTCACTAGTCAATCTTTAAAAATACGTGCCAGGAAAATAACTGAGCCAACTTCCTTTATTCTATCCTATATGTAGTCTGAGACTGAGTTATAAATGTTGTAATATAATTGTCTGTTATGTTAATTTAAATATCCAAAAGTAGTGGAAGTTTCGTCTCTAGCACAAGTTGTTCTCCTTCTATTACTTTAAGACTAAATAAAAAGGTTATTTTATTAAATATTAATAATGAAATTTCTTAACTAAGTTCACTATTTTTAATTGGAGAGCACCTCTTACTGTGCAATTCTTCCACACTAGGATTATTTTCAAGAGAGCAGTTTTTGTAAAGAGCATGTATATTTAATTCACAGGTCTTCAAATGTTTCCGAAAACTAAAATGCTTTTAAATCATGAAAAGGAAAGTTCTTGTAAAACTTTGTTAATTGATTTTAAATTATACTACACGGGTAAAAGAATTTTCATCTAAATAACAGAAATAACTAATCTCAAAGACAGAAGCATCTGACGCTATGGTGATTTTTTAATGAAATATAAAGTTAAAAATGTTAGTTGTTTTAAAAATAAATTTATCTATTAGAAGAACATGTAAGCTAACATTGCTTTGTTTTTACTAAATTAAAATGCACCTATGTGGTATAAACAGAAGTTAGTAAATCATAAATCAGTTTTAAGACATTATGAAAAGAAACAATGCATTTCCAACAGGTTTGTCAAATTTAGTATGTTTTTTTTTTTTTTTTTTTTTTTTTTGTATTCACACCTGTTAGTTTCAATTAAACTAATTCTTTACATTTCCCAAACTAATTAATTGCATTAAATAAACATAAATTAGCCTTTATTTTGGGTCTTAATGATTGCTATAACTGTGCTTCTTCTTAATAAATATAGTACAATTTTATTTTCTATGAATTCTCGTATAATTATGAGATGAATGGAAGCAAACCGAGCATCCTCATAATAATATATATTTACAATTAATACATAATTTTTTTACCTCCACATGAGGGGCTTTAATACGCAATACGTGATTCTCAATTTAAAATGCTTATGCTTTCATAATGGACGCCAACTATTGTTGAGATAACATTTGGTATTAATGTCTTCAACTCTTTTCGAGATACTTTAGTTGTAATTTCTTTAATTTTTCATGAGAGTTTTTTTTTATTTTAAAATAAGGGCAAAAAGTTATTTTTTATTTTATAGTGCGCAATCATATCCCGCACTGGAAAAACCACACTAGTTGACAATCGCAGTATCACTAAAATCTGGAAGAAATTAAATTATTATCTAAAAAACTTAAAATTATTATCAATTATTATCTCAAATTTAATATTTCTTTAACCTTCTTTGTGTTACCGTGAGTGCTTATGCATTAAATGTACTTATATTGCAATAAACTTAAGTGAACTGTAGGTTTAAAGGTAAATGAGGTTAAAGTTTATGTACCAAAAGCATTAATAATAGGTGACCATTTATGATTTAATTACAAAACACTTTAAAACTACGTATAGAAAAAGGCTTTAAACTTGTATGCAAAACATTTTTGTTCTACTGATTGCTATGTTTCTGCTTTTCGATCGGGGAAATAGATGTTGCCTTCTACTGTTCACCTACTATTGCAAAACCTTTTTTGGAACTACTCTGATATGCGCCCTCAAGTCGCCAAATATTTTTGGCGAGAAACTTCACGCTGCCATTTTACTATCTAAATTTTTTTTCTACATTTTGAACTTTTAGCAAATGTCTCCAAAACGCGGTTTTCGCACATTCAAAAACTACGTTTTGAACACACAATTTAGCTAAAAATCCGAAACAAAACAACAATTTAGATAGCAAAAACGTAAAGTTTCTAACCAAAATATTTGACAAGATCCATGTACACAAGCGACATGGTTTTAACTTAAAAAAACTACGAATTGCACAATGTAGGCAACGAACGAATCTACAACTACGCACACTCGCTTTAAAATTAAATAACAACATAAATTCAAAGAACCATGTAACAGCATCCGTTAAACTTAAAAAAAATTCTACGAATTGCACAATTTAGGCAGGAAGGAATCTACGATCTACGCACTCCTCGCTTTAATAAAATAACATAACAACAATAAATTTCAAATAATACCATGTACACAGCGTTCTGTTTCAACTTTAAAAAACATCTACGAATTGTACAGTCTATACACTAACAACAATAAACTAAATAAATTTCAAACAATTTAAAAAAACAACAAAACGACGAAATTCATACTAAGAACCAATGAACTAACATTCTACAAAATCAGAACGGATAATAAAATCACTTACCATGAATTTAATGCGTTTCGAATAGCAGAAATTAAATTTCATTCCGCCTTTAACATGCCGCCACGTAATCACTATCGTATTACACACAGCCACACACTATCCAGAAATTTATACTATGGTTCACAAATAAATAATCACAAATCCCTACTTCTATTTGGCACTGCATTAAAAATATCTCCCAGACCCCTTTCCACACTTCCAATACCCACTACCCTCACAGATAGCCACAATCATATTTCCTTTTGCCAAACTTCAATTCAAACTACCCTTTTATCTTTCCCTCCCATCTTCTCAGACACCAGGCGAACCACAGCTCCAGTGAAAGATTTTTCACTCAACAGGGTTGCCACAGAACACGCAATCGCGCCAAAAACCAGCGCAGAACACATATCGCCACATTTGGTGAAATTAGGGCGTATATTAGAGTTGTACCCCTTTTTTTAGCTTTTTCTGACTTTGAAATCAAATACAGAATGGTCATGAAAGAAATTTCCAATTCAAGGCATTTTGTAATTTTATTTAATTATCCAAACTGAACCGGGCTTTCACTGTGAGCTAACAAAGATATGAATAAAAACTTTTAGCAAAACTAGAAATTAATTCCACAGATACGAAGATATGTTGTGCTGTACAAAAGCGGAAAACATTATATTTCGCTTATACAAGAACAGTATGAAGTTAAAGAAAATCCGCCCAGACGTGTATAGTGGTCAGGGGAGCCTGATTGCGATACCGAAGGGCTCGGGTTCGAATCCCGGAGAAGGCATGGATATAAAATTGTCTGCCCCTTCATAGGAAGGTAGCGATGGCCGCCTATTAGGTGCCTCCATAATGAAATGGCCATCACATCTGGCACTTTGGCCGTTATAGGCAAGTGACCAGTGCCGTTATAGGCAAGTGACTAGTGCTGTTATGGGCAAGTGCCCGCCACTAGGAAAAAAACGTTAAAGAAAAGTAACTGCTGAAAGAAACTAGTTTTCTGTCAGTTAACTAGTATTGCTTGATGCTGTAGTCATCGTCACATATCAGGTGTTTCATTCGATGCTAACTGCGTTCAATGACAAAAAAAAAAAAAGTTATGGTCTCATAAGGTACCTTTGTGAGCAGAAATATTAAAGAAACAGCTTTGCCATCGCTGGCAACTGAACACGAGATTTTCCAGATCTACTGACCATTAAACAGAAAAGACACTTGGAAGGATTACTTTTTAATTCCTAACTACGTATCTTGAAGAATATTTCTCATATAGTTAAACAATTACTTAAAGCTTATATTATAAGGACTAGTGATAAACGTTGCCTATCAAGCAGCCTTACAATTAAATATCACATTGATCTATCGTTAAGAGTAGGAACTTAAAAGTAATCAAGAAACTTAAAAGTAATGCCTATCACAATTTCTTTAAAGAAGGTTTATGGTATTCTGTTGTGCTGGCATTGTAAAATGAGGTCTTTCATCTTGCATACAAATGCTCTGAATCAATAGTAAATAAATTAATAATAAAGATTTAAGTGTAAAACTGTTAAAAAGCATAATATTCGCCGCATTTGCCAAGGGATGCAAATGAAATGGAATGGCGGTACAGAACTTTTTATCAAAATCAATAAGCCACCCATAAACGGATATATTTTGCTACTTTTGATGAAGCCTCAGCTTATCTAAGTAACAGTAAGACAAAAAAAATCAATTTATCATCGAAAAATGGATAGAAACGTGGAGAAATTTCGTTTCAAATATTCAAACAAACTTTCCATAATGAATTTATGATTCAGCTTGTTTATCGTTCAGCCCAAAATTAAAGTTAACAGCTTTTGAAAACGTATGTAAAAACTTAAGCTTTTTTATTATCAAAATAATGCTCCAACTCGTTTTTCAAAGAAATTCAGTCTCTTTGTCCACAATGCCATGAAAAAGTACACCTCCATTACGATAAAGTTACAAGACATAACCACTCAGTCTAAGTCATTTCTTCATATTCCTTCCCTAATATGTCACTAACGGATAATTGAACCTTTAGAGTGACAGAAGGATTGCTCACTAAATGAGAACACTGACTGGTACTGGGTGATCAAGGGGAATCAGTTTAAGAGGGATCGGCAGAATACGTAAATGTGATAATGTAGAAATAAATAAAAACTATGAAATATTGTAAAAATGTTTATCAATCGAATAAACATGAAAATATATATAATTTTGTTGCTTGAATACTTTGTTTTGCATTTTTGTAAAATAAAGCAAGTCACACAGTTCATTTTTAATGGAATGAGCAGAATGTGCTTACCTACTTGTAAATGTGCCAAATCTTTGTCGGCGCAACCGGCGTTTGATACCAAGTACAGATAGTCCTTATCTGTTTTAGTGACAATTAAGTCATCAATAATTCCACCCCGATCATTTGTAAATAATGTTAAGGTGCTCTGATTCTCATTCAAACCTATGAAAATAGTATAAAAAGAATAACTACTAAATTAAAAGTAAATTATCTAAGAATTCAGAATATAACTTAAATTTACTTGCACACTAAAAAATGTTACTCGGTGTCTTTTGGACTTTTAATGGAATTCAGATTGAGAGCATGCACTCAAAGTGATACAGGGTTTGTCCAAAATAATAAAAACACTTAGAGATACGAAGTATCTAACAAGTATCTATATGTGTAACAAGTAGTATCTATACTATACATATATAACTATACGTGTATCTAACAAGACGTAGGATCACCTTTAGCATCCAAAACTGGTTGGAAGCTTCTCAAAATGGAGGCATACAAGCTCTGAATGGTTGTAACATGTATTTTACGTTGTTCGTCTGTCAGAAACTGACAGTCACCGGGAGACAAAAATGAGATCACACTCTATTTCCAGCACACATCACTGTAGTTCAATGATATCAAATTATGGTTATTGTTCAGGCCATGGAAGACGTTATAACTTTATTTTCTTCAAAATACGACTGAACCATTCAACATCGGTGAAAAGGGACATTATCATCCTGAGAGTTGTTTTAGTGTAGGAAGCAGACAATCTATATCATTAGCTGCCAGAACACATGAAAACTACTGACCCTTAAAGTACTTGTAGGTTAAGAACACTCAAATCCCAAGCATGTCTAAATCCACGTATAATTTTTGACTTCGAGGGTTTTGGCAATGTATAGCTTGCTTTTACCTTTACAAATAATAGAAACAGCAGATTAACACTCTGATATATTAATTTAAAAGTCAAACAACCAAAATCAGCGTTATATTTGAAAATTTTCACAGGACTAGTTTCGATGGTTTTACCTAGCCATCAATCTCAGCTGCAAAAGACCAAATGAATGAGATAAGATACAGTGATTAGATAAGATAAGAATGGCTGGACATGAGTTAAGCTACTAGCGTTATCTATTGATGAAACGAGAACTAAAACATAATTTCCTTAAAGGCTGAAGACAAAGAAAGATGTGTTGCAATTAGGATCGTTAACTAGAGCAGAAATATTTTTTTTTTTTTTTTGAATGTGAAACGCCTCCAGAAAATCCAATTCACCAATGGAAGATGCTTTTTGAATAATTTTGGCTGCAGAAAAATGAAAAAAATTTGATTTCGACCAATATGCTGATCAACATAATACTTCTGGTTTCCTTTTTCTACATGCCTAGTTCCTTAACGCGAAATTTTAATGCTTATTAGTTGACATGTAATTAAGTCACACTAGAAGGATCCTGCAAATACCTAGGAATTCATATCCGGAATGGAGTCTTGAGTATGGACTCGAAATTTTTTTGATGGAGAAAAACGACCCTAATTAAAGTCTTAAATACGTGCAATTTTATAGCTAACATGGAAAAACGGCGTAGCTAGTAGCTTAACGCCAGTAGCTTAACTCCTGTTCAGCCATTCTTATCTTATCTCGTTCATTTGCGCTTTAGCAGCTGATGATGATGGTTCGGTAAAATCGAAACTAGTCCTATGAAAATTTGCAAATATAACGCTGATTTTTGTTGTTTGACTTCGAAATTAATATTTATTCAGCGTGTTATTTTATCTTAACTATGATATATGTTCAAATGTACTGTATGGTGCTCTTCCTCCTTAAAGTAAACAAGAGAAAAACAAATTTTATAAAAGAAAATTATAGGGATGTTAAAATACCCTCATGTTCCGAAATATATTCGCATTCATGAAATCACAGATTTCTCAGAAACTATAAAATATAATTTTATAAATTTGTGTAAAAATTATACATAACACATAATTACAGAGGAACAAAATTAAGAGCACTGCATGCGATGTAAATTTGCAACATAAAACAATAAAATGGTAATAATATGTTACAAGGAGAGTTAAGGAAAAAAAAATAAATCAGAAAAAATCTAAGGCTTATAAATTTAATGTGGAATGTGATCTCTGCTGACTTGCGCACACGTAACACAACATGTTTTCATGTTGGCAATAACGTTTTTAACCACAGTTTGGGAAATTAAGTTCCCCTTCTTTAGCAGTGCGGTCTTCAGTACATTGACATCTCGAAGCCTGTATCTGTGATATCAGAAACCGTTCGAACACTTTTGATTGAATAATGCTAATTAGATTTGCCTACATTTCCTGGAGAAAGGTATTGCACAGATTGGATTTGTAATAGAATATCATTATTTTTGGGTATGTAAAGACAAATTTGGATATAAGTATACATATATAGTACCATACTGTTGTTGTAGATGTATGCCTAGTTCGTCTACTTCTAAAATGAATTTCTATTCATCACGACCTACGTTAATGTTATCCTCCAGGTTACGAAACTCTACAGATGTCACATACCATTTACACGAAATATCATAAATGAAAGCCTTTGTAACAAACGTAATAGTTGAAAAATCAAATGCAGATGGAGAAATTAAACTTTTTTATCAATTTGTATGATTTATCTTTGCTTCAAGGGTGCAGTGTTAAATGTACATAGTATAATTTATTGAATTTCTTAAATACATTCAAAATATTCTGTTTGAAGTTTTTTGTGTCAACTGAGGTCTACAGTAACACATCAAATACGAAACTAACTGATAACTTCAGAAGTCCATAATTTATTGGCAATCATCCAGTTTATCGAAAGCGTCCATACGCAAAATTTTAAGCAAATACTCGCAATGCCTAAGCTCTCCCGAATGTTAGCAACAGTAGATAGCTGTGGAATAATTTCAGTAGCTTGAATATATACTTCAGATATTTTTAACGTTATTTCTTTAATATTTCTCTTACCGCCATCAACTCTACGTAAAGTCTGAAAGTGTTTGCAAGTGTCAATGAATTTTAACTTTGTAATACGTTCGTGTCATTGACATGCAATCAGTGGACAGGTGGAACTAGGCTAGTCACCTAAACATTTTTGAAGTGACATTCTCTTGTTAATTTTTACTTAACATTTAAAAACAAATTTTAAAATTATCATTTTATCTGTACTTAGATCACGCGTCGCTCAAATGCAATGGATTTTCACTCACATCGAGGAAATCAGTGAGCCCGTCGGCTGCGCACGAAGATGGTTTGATTTATTTGATTACGGCAAAGCACACGAGAGCTATATGCCTGAAAGGAAGGAGAACATTCTAAAGGAAACAGGCTGGTATACAAGTTACACATGGGGAAACCATGAAAACGTCCATGCAGCCAGCCTTTTTGCCAGAATTCGAGCCCCGGACCGACCCCCCAGTGTTCAGCAACTTTACCACTTGGCCACTGGTGGGCCTCTGCATGAAGATGAATTGCATTATTTAGATGACAGCAAAGCACAAGAGAACTATCTGCCTAAGGGCAGGAGCATTTTAAGGGATATGGAATGGTAAATATAAGGAATCTCATTTAGCCAGTGGCTGAATGGTTCAAGACTGGGAAATACTGAAAAACTGCATGGGTGGTTTTCGTGGTTTCCTTATTTTGTAAAGTAAATACGATCCAGTTCCCTTAGAAAATCCTACAAGAAGGCATCTTCCCTTCTGCTCTTGAGTGCTTTGACATACTCAAATAACCTAACAGCAGGCCGTTTGCTAGGATTTTTAACTCGGGTCAAAAGGTTGGTATTAAGCAATTTTAAAGCAGGCCTTCTGGTGGACCTGCATGAGCTCCGAGTAGCTTGTTTCCTCCTGTTCCTACAGCCGTTGTAAATGTGTTTTCAATAGCGGAGGAAGGTTGCTTGAGATTTTAACTTCTCGTGATTCAGATGAGAATACTGTAACTTTCAAAGCCATATTTCAGCTAGTGTTCTTCAAAATATTCTTGTATAACGTGGAGAAATTTAAAAAAATATATGTTAACGCAGTAAATCCGAGTTTAATGTCGAATATATTTATTAAAACGAAGCCTCCCATCCAACACATCATTATAAAGCATACACAAACAAGTTGTGAAGCTGTTTAAGCCACAGCGGCTATTCAGCTCTCAGTATCACAATGTTGCGGTCTCGATTGCCTGCCCACCACACCTTTTAGAACTAGTCGCAGAATGAGTCTAAAACTGTTGGTAGCCAGGACTCGCATTTACCCTTACAAGAACATGAACTTTTAGCATTTGTCTCAGCCTTTAGCAAATTTTTACTTTAAACAATAAGATAAAGACTAAATAAAATACAGGCTTATTGAATAAATAATTTATATTTGAATTGAACTATATTTAAACTAATATTCGAACTAGAATTTCAAGAGTCTAAAAGTAAACAGAAATTCCGATGACTTCAAGTTAAATAACAAAGTGAAAATTTCCAACTGGGCTAGATTATTTGAATATAACAAAGCAAACTTAAATACGGGATGCCTTCGTGAAGGACGTTCTAACGAAAATTGGCTTGCATTACCGTTTCACATGGGAAAACCTATCATGCAGCCAACCCGTTCGCCAGGAACAGAACCTGGGTCGAACTGCAGTAGTCAAACATTTAGCCACTCAGCCAAAATAAAACAGCTGATTTAAAAACCTAGAGATATATCTCTACTTGGTTTTCATATCAAGCACTATCCAAAGCCTAACTGAACTTAAATAAGTTAGACTTACCCCCGGCAACTAAATTTCTAGGTAATTATTAATCTCACTCAGCAGTTAAATGCAAACCACCAACAACTCATAATATCGAATATCATAAAGAAAAAAATACAACGTTCATAATTAGGTTAAATTAATCATAGCCTCTCCTCTTAATTATCATTATTTTTTTACTTAATCTTTCACATACATATTTATAGAGCAAGTGAATGAAAATGCAAAAGAGATGAGTGGACAAATTGAAAAGCTAACTGAGCTAACTGGTAGGCAAAAGTTAAAATCCCTTACAAGTCTATGTAAATGAATGTTAAAAAATATGTTAGATTCACCTTAAAACAAGTGATAAGGATTTCAAAAATTAAAATGGAATTTAAACACATTTCGGGGATCATAATACAAAATGAAATTAATCTTTTACTGCTCTATGCGACAAGAAATCAACATTTTCGTTAAATAGTTTATGGAGCTTTCCAAATTTAAAATCTCATGTTCACCAGTGCTCTAATTTAATCTCACCTTTAAGAAAAATGTTGAGCCAATGAAGGAGAAAATTAAGTAATACCATTCTTTTTATGCACATATTTCAAAAAAAGAGGCAATAATTTGATTTAAAAAATTTGAGAGAGATACGCTAACATTTCTTCGCTCAGAAGCTTACTAAATATCAAGACTGTTACTAACGCACTTTGTAATTAAGTAGTTATCAATACAAGAGTAGCTGAAATGCTTAAATCTTCTTCTTAATTTGCTGTTTTAGTTTCGCAAACATATTTTCTGAAAACGAAAGCAGAAACTCAAAATTCATAAAGGCCCACCAGCGGCCGAGCGGTAAAGTCGCCGAACACAGGTAGTTCGGTCCGAGGTTCGAATCCCGCAAACGGGCTGGCTGCATGGGCGTTTCGTGGTTCCCCAGTTAACGGTGTATAGAGCCAGTTCCCTAGAAAGTCCTCCACGAGCATCCCTCCCTAGCAGATACCCTCCTCTCTTGGCCATAATTAAATACACCACACCACCACTACACCACACCAAAATTCATAAATTTCTGCCGTTTAGTAAATACCGAAAGAATATAGGAATTTTTATGATGCTTACTTTTTATGTCAGACACCACAAGACTTTCCATGTATTTCACTCTGTCTCTTCCGTATACTTTGGCTTGCAACATATGAGAAACGTCAAATATACTAACATGCTCTCGTGTATGCTTATGAGACGCAATAATATTGAAATCAGAATATTGTAAGGGCATTTCATATCCAGCAAATTCCACAAATTTTGCCTTCTTTTTAAAATGGAAGTCATGAAGAAACACTTTTTTTCTACCCTGCAAAAGAAATAAAATTCAATTTGCTTATCAGAACTAAAAATAATATTATTCATTCTTAAATAAATGTTGGAATTAAACACAAAATACGAGGTCGTTATATACGAAATCATTATCTCCGTATCTCGTTTATCTTCCATCATATTAGACGAACAAGTGGAATTTCATGTTAAATATTGAAGTCAAATCCATAAATATAGCAAACCTCCGCTGTTTCTAAATTTATGCTTTAGGGTCATTACCACTTTGAATTTAAATAGAAGGCAAAGAATGAAAAAAGGCAAAGAAATTCGCTTTACCTTTAGAGGTGTTATTTCTTAAAATAACGAATATTTAATTAGTAATATATATGTATTAAACAGATAGATGCTGTGCATCATAAGATACAGAACACTGTTTCTTAAATTATGAACCAATGCCTAATCATACTTTCTAGAAGAGTCAAATTAATTTACGATATTAATTTAATTGTATCATACGAAATTGCGCCTGCAAATTGCATGAAAATTTGAAAACAAATCATTCACAGATAGAAATTTCAGCTCAAGGCTGAAGATAGAAATTCACAGATAGAAATTTCAGCTTAAGGCTGTGTGTTTTTAAGCAATTACTTACCCCACTTGATAAAAAGCGCACATTTTCCTTGAAAAACTGTAGTACATTCTGGTTAAAATGCCTCCGAACGGCTGCACGAAAATGATTTTGCATAACAGCTTAGCTTAACCTAACGTAAGAGAAATACCTGAATTCTTGTAAAAGCCTAAAGTATAGAATTATAAAATAATACTGTTACCAACTGTAACGAACAGTAAGTGTGCACACAGTCAAAGAAAATTTCTTATCATGAAATTTCACAATTGCCACTTATCTAATCGAATACTGTGATAAGAAATTTCATTAGACTTCTTGAATGCTGTCTCGAAATAAATTATTTACTTAACAGTTGGTTAGCTTTGTGTTTTCTCATACTAACTGCAATCCTCTTTTTTTTTTTCGGAACATGAAAAGAAAATAAATGTTCTTTTTTTATTATTAAATTAGCGACTAAGTACTTCATCCATTGCGGCTTCTGCTTCTCTGTTTTACCTGCAAACATTTTGCAACAGATTGCAGTGTTAAAATTAAGTAATCAGTAGCGCATATTAATTCTTATCAATCTATAAAATGCAATTATGGATCAAATAGAACAGTAAGTATCATACTCTTCTTTACATCTTCCAGAGAAGATACAATTGTTTGCATCTTCTCCTCTGTCCTTACGAATACCTCGCCAAAATATATTTCACATAACTTTGCAGCGCCAAGTATAAACTGGAGCCTTCTAACTTCGTGCTATAAAGCAACCAGTGCTATAATTTTTGTTACGTTAAATATCAGTAGTAACAATATATTGATCATACCTTTAATAATAATTAAAACTTTACCTTGAAATTAGCATCCAAATTTTTTTAGTTCAACATTCATGGTAAATAATGTTTTTTTTTCCAGTCTCAGTTGTCTGGCGAAGGTCAGCACAAGTCCACGATATTAAACGTGGCAAGGAGTGCAAGAATGCGTCTGTCGTTGGCACGAGCCTTGAGCACCATATAAGTAGCAGACCGACTTTAGCTCAGTTTCGCCCCAAATTTTGAGAGACAGGAGCCCTGGGGGGCTGGGTCCGGGGTCTCCCACCACTCTTCCCCTACCACCAACATTTCGAAAGTATTTTCGACTAGCCACATATTAAAAGTGCCCCCATGCCACACAGACATTATACATTTATTCATGGCCTTCTCGGGGATTAAAACCCGGAGTATGGCAATCAGAGTCACTAACTTCTATCCCGGTTGGACGACTGGTAAATAATTCACAGTCGTAGACCATGTGCTTTCCTTTTGTCACCCACAGTTTTCAGAATGGCATTACACATACTATCTGCTAGCTAGCAGAATTGTCAAATTACACCTAGGATTGTTTATTGATTGTTACTGCAACTAAATTAAAAGCAATTATCTACTGAACATGTTTGTCCACTACTTTTAAATGAGCAAACGACTTTGCAGAATTTTCTTTTTGGTGTGTGTGTACGTGTTCATGCATGAGTGTGCATATATTTTACTTTATATCCAATAATTTCAATGTTTTATCGAAACTGAGTCCTCAGCTTTTCAATAAAATTGCAATTACATTTGAGCTTTGAACGGATTGGGGGGTGAAGGAGTTAATTCTGTGCTCTCAAAAGGCAGGTTATTCGACTAAAATTAATCGTAAAATTTCCACAACTGGAACAAAGATAAACAAGCAAAACATTTTCAGTCACCAAAAGCAAACTCGCTATCAGAATTCACCACGTTTTAAGAATTCTTTTCTTTCGATAAACTTAATCCAGAAACTTCGTGGTCTGCTTTTGTATTACCAGCTGTTATACAGTTCTTTAAATGCAAACTTTTGCTACGTTATTGTAAATATTTCTATTTTTGAAAACTGCAAATAACTTTATTTAAATATGCTGTCAAATTGATTGCCGAAGTCTAAAACGTAGGAAGACGTTCAATTACACATTTCATTCAAAACTATGCATTTATTTGGAAGTATAAATACATATAATGTGGTCCGAATGCTAGGTTAAGATTATGCAGATACGCGTTTGAACCTTTAAACGGGCTTTACGTAAAAGTATATTAGACTGAAAACTCTGATTGGCAATATTTTTAAAGAATATAGAAGTTCAAAGAAAATTACGGCCGGCAAAGAAACAGAAGAAATTATCTTATAGCAAGTCCAAAAATAAGTCAAATAACACATTTAAAAGTTAATTCAAAGATGTTAATTTAAATAATGAATCCAGAAGAAAAAGCCTAGATCATATAGTACGCGATTATAAGAAAATGGTAACAAAAATCTTGCGCAGTGTAAGACAAAAGAAAATAGGTTGTAATGTGTTCAAAATAAGTTTACCTATGTTCAACGTGTGCAGTAAATGAGAGAAAAGCTCCAAATGACTGGTAATAGGGAAACAAATTGTAAAGAAAAATCCAGATATTTTTTTTTTCAGGTGCCAGAAAACATAGAACCTATGTGCTTGATTCTGATTAAAACATTGGGCATGCTTTAAATCTGTAGCGTTTCTTGCATCCTAAGTCTCTGAGCAAATATAAACACAAATTTCCCTCTGCGAGCAGAAAAATAATGAGGAATATTTCACACAGTCATATCAAACAAAGCACCTATATTCATCAAACTGCACATCTCCTTAGTACGTATTATGTATTTGTCTGTGTCTGCATTCGTAAATGATGTAGACATTTTTATAA